TATTATTATTATTATTATTATTATTATTATTATTATTATTATTATTATTATTATTATGCTGCATACAGGTTATTGTAAGTGACCCGCCTTAGCCTCGTCACTACTTCGTCGAGGTTAGACTCGGCACTTACAGAGTACATGGGGTCAGTTATACTCATACTATACTTTGCACTTCTTGTGCAGATTTTGGAGCCGGTCCTAGCGGCAGTTAGTAGGTTGCTCGGTTTGATTGCCTGACTGATACTTGAGGTACAACTGCTCGACGTTCGCAGCCCTGAAGTTTCCTTCTACCTTATTCTAATTGTTTATTTCATTTCAGATGGTTATACTTTTATCCAGACCATTATTTGTATTATTCTACTCGCTCGTGCACTTGTGATACCAGTTCTGAGATTGTATCTAGATATTGCTGTTATTATGGGTTTTCTCACTCTATTTCAGTTTCATTTCAGTTTATTCTGTTTACTCGGTATCGGTTAACTTGAATTGTTAAAAATGGCAAAAAACTATTCTAACGTTGGCTTGTCTAGAAAGTGAAATGTTATGCGCTAACACGGTCCCGAGGGTGAGAATTTTGGATCGTGACAATGAGGCAAGCTAGCGAGACACTACCATTATTTTTTTTTAAAAAAAATATCTATCTACAAAGGTTGAATGTAACAAGATCTTTGTTTTCTTTCTGCACAGATTGAGAGACTACACTACTTGGATGGCAGAATTAAGAGAAAAAACGAAAAAGAGATATAGGGAAAGAGTTAAAGGAACAAACTTTTCACGGAAATAGGCGATGGGGGCAAGAATAGAAATAGTAGAGCCACTTTTGTAATCACATGGTAACTGTTTGACCAAAAAATGTAAACTCTTGATCAAACTAATTAATTTTATATAACGAGGGATTAAACTTAGCTAGTGATAATAATCTCAAATCTATAATCGATTAACACAAATAACGTAGAACAGTGTTGGTAGGAGATTAAATGCAGTGCACATTCAATGTTTCAAGATGATTAATGATCGAAGAATGTTGAGCAATAAATCACAATAAATGACATTAAAGTAAATAAGGAGAATAATTCACCAAATATTAAATAAGGTATATGATTATTCCTTCTGACAATGATGAATGATAGATAAATACTAGAATATTGGAACTATTCTCGGATCTGATGGAAAAGTGTGGAATAATAGACAATCGAATCTCTTTAGAAAGATAGTGTTAGTTAGGGCTGCTTATCGGGCGGATCAGACGGTTATTTACTCTTAACAGTTTGGCTTATAGGTTATCGGCTTTTAAATGTATTAATCCGCTAGCCACCCGATAAGATATCGGGCCGATTGGTATCGGTTTAGCTATTATCGGACGGTTATCGGACGATTTATCGGCCTAGTTCAATCTGTATTACAGAGAATTATTTTGGTCCTTTAAGTTACACGGTTACTAGTAATTAGTAAATACCCAACAATGCTTCAACTAACATAACAGTTAACACTTCCTAACATGACAATTACATCTCTCAAAATGAGTCCAGAATACAAGGAGATGTATCCTAACACAACTATTATTCAGATGGCTCCCAAGTATCCTTGTCACCCCACTCCACCAAAACACTGAACATTAATTTCATATAAGCCAAAAAAGAAACATAGCATCGCTCTCCAACCTATTTCCCGTTTGCTTCCACTACTCTTCTATATCTTCCAACTTGAAATTGCTTCATCTAGTGTTCTTGGAATTTGTTTCCCATATCTCGCTTTCTTTGCTTTCGTGACTGTTGTTTCCTATATATTTTCCCATAAATTCACCAAATAAGAAGAGGAAAGAGAAATTAACAGCAAGATGCAACATGATATGTGCATATGCATGCTATCCCACTAAATATTCGACCATCAAATAAAGATTCGAAAAGGAGAAGAAAAAAACTTACCATCTGCTGCTCTGGCTATAGCCGTAAGCCCGTAACTGGGGTTCTGAGATCTGGTTCTAAGAAATGTGTTGAGATTCTGAGACGACGAGAGGGAGAGGCGAGACTCGAGAGGGCTGGGCAGTGGGTTGCTGTTACTTATGAGATCTGAGGGAAATAAGGAATTTTTGATGTTAGAGTTTCTATTTTTTAATAGTGTAATAGGGCTGGGCAGTACCGGGTAAGTGTAAGTGTCAAAAGGATTTGTATTATTTAATACACATATATATATATATATATATATATATATATAATCTTAACGGGTTAACGGTTTATCCGATAAGAAAATTGAATAATTCGTCCCCAAACCGATAAGCCTTTAATAATAAAATTTTAATTCGTTCCCCATTCGCTAAACAGATAATCCGTTACCAATAAGCCATTAAGTCATTTTTACGGTTCGGTTTTCGGTTTCGGTTCGATTTTGAACACCCCTAGTTTAGTATTTTATCTAGGGAGCAAGTATTCTTTTGAAAGAGTGTTCTTCTCGGAGAATCTTGCCCCTTCTTCACCTTATCTCCCTCTCTATTTATCTGGGACATACCTCCAGTTAACCTTAAAAGTACAAGTACAGAGAATATTCAATGGGATATTCTCCTAAAGATCTTATTACAAAACTAGCCATTACTACTGCCCCTAATAATTGACCTCAGCCGTTATTGATTGCTCGGCTTTAAGCCCTGCCGTTTACTAGCCAATCTCGGCCAATTTACTTTTCGTACTACCACTTCATGTCGAATCTCCTTGAGGCAGATTTTGGCCAATACAGTAACCACCGTAGACAAGCTGTACCAAAGCCATTGCAGCATGGGCTTTCCATATCTCACCTCCATTTCCTACTGCAACTGCTGCCATTTTGTTCATTTCATCCACACTACACACCCACCCACCCCTCATATATATAGAGTCAACAAAGTGTAATAATGTGGAGTATGGTGATTCTTGATTATTATAGAGATTTAAAAAAAATACTCCTTCCGTTTCAATTTATGTGAACTCATTTGACTGAGCACAGAGTTTAAGAAAAGAGAGAAACTTTTGAACGTGTGGTGTAAAATGAGACACATATATTTCGTGTGCCTATAAATCATTGCATAAAAATTAATTATTTTCAAATAAGAAAAGAGGTCATTCTTTTTGGCACAGACTAAAAAGGAAATAGGTTCACATAAATTGAAACTGATGGAATATGAGAAAAGGAGTTGACTTGTTTCAGGAACCTCACGTTTTTTGTGTTTTCTTGGATTGTGTTCTTGGTTTTTTGGTCACAAGAAACTGAGAAAGCTTTGGACAGGATTTTGAAGTTGATCTTTCTGACGAATTTGAGGTTTAAGCTTTCCCACATAAACAGTATGTGTCTTCTCCTTTTCTGAAAGTAGAAAGGCTAAAAATGGCAAATTAATTGATGGAGTTTTATAGAGTTACTTTTTCTAATCCTTAAGAAATTTCTAAAACGTGTCACTTGTCTATTGGAGTAGTATGAGTCATATCATTGTTTTTGATTTTTTAATTTAGTACGCGTATTGGGAATAGCACTCCCTATCAAATTCAGAACTCAAACCCGAGGAGATTAAGCATGAAACGATTATATTTCTACCTACAGCAATTCTCCTCCTTTATCTGGCTGAGGATCAATTACACTTTGTGAAACTCACAGTCGAGTTTTTGCAACAAAAAGATAACAAATTTAGCCAGTATTGTTTCCTAACAATAAAAAAAGTAAAGAAGAATATGAATAAAAATTGGGAAAAAAGAGTGTCAAAAATACAAATACTAGATGTAATTTTGATACAAAAACGATGATGTATTACATATTACACTTTTGACTCACTCATTGCAATATCAAATTCCCAAAATTGTTCTTATCTGATCAGGTGGATGTCTAGCCAGTGACTTTGGATCTGGGTAGCCATTCTCAGGGTCCATGATAGCCCTGTAAATAAGCTCGTAGGCTTCAGCAAGTGACCTAGCTACCTGAACACTAGTTTCTGATCGCAATCTTGGAACTTGCATCTGCTCAAATTCAGGAATGGCGGTTTCACTGCCCAAAATGAGCCCAAAGAAAGCCTTCAAACTCTCAGCAACAGACACCGGAGCTGTATCCTCTTCTTCTGCTAACCCTTGCCTAGCTATGGAGTTACCAGATTCACTAATTTCTAATGACTTGCGGAAGTGTGACATTTTATTCAATAAACCACATCTTCTTAGAATAGCATCCACTTCTTTTTCCACAAGAGCATTTATGTGATTGTCTATCATTATTCCGAGCTTCTTCACATAGCCACTTGCAACTTCATGTCCTAAAAGTGGTTGCTGGATGGCACATAAGCAGTTGATGAGGAAAATTTTGGCCGGAGTTTCACTGGTCTGCAAAAACAAAACAGTAGGTTAACACTAGTGATAGTAGGATAACTGCACCATCTCATATAATATCACTATATTATAACATGCGCCATCTAATATAATATCACTATATGAATTGATAGTTTACTCATGATCGCGAACATGGAATAAACGCAAAATCAACATTTCGGTCAATCATCTAATACATAGATCCATGATGATCTATGCACCTAGTATAAGGTGGTCCAGCAAATCTCTCGGAAAAATAGTATTGTTAGTAAAATGTCCCAAATCCAACCAAACACAACTGGGAAAGTGTCAGATGGTAGGATTCCTCCATTTCTTGTAGTTTCTCTTTCTTTTTTGCTTTCTTATCTTTTATTGGGGAAGAGGGAAGGGGCACGAAATTTCACAAGCCAAGGTTACAACACAAAAGGCCTAATTGGACTTTGGAATTCAAGGGGAAACAAGACCATAAATACCTGTGGTAAAGATGCTGAACTTTTGCCATCCAAAAGAGCATCCACAGATGACCTGCGGTGTTGACTTGGATCAGAAGTAATTCTATTCCTTCTTGAGGAGTGTATGGCACCTTTTGACTTGTGCGCCTCTGCTGCTTGCTCACACATCTGCATGGAAGATAGGCAGTAAACATAGAGAAGCAAAATAAAACTGATTTGGCAATACTGCAGTAAAATCAGCAATGATGCCATTTTCAGCCTATCTCATTCTCATGTCAAGAAGCTCAAATCAAACACTCTTAAAATTCTGAAATGTCACTCAAACAGGAGAATGGAACCAATAATGCATTCTAGTTTATACGATCTAAATAGTTGATGCACTCTAGTTTTCCATATGAACTAACATATTAAATTTCCCAGACCTATTCCTTTTTACTTTGAACACAGCTAATAACCAGAGATAATCTGTACTAGTAATATGGTCTTGCAATTTCCGAACAAACCAGTACCCCGGCGAAGGATTAAGTTACAAAGTTTATGAGAAACAGATAGACTGCACAAGAAAAACAAGAATAGTGCTAATAAGAGAACATTCATTTTTTTTATCAACATCAGACGATGTTGACATGCATTTAACATGATTTGATATTTGGTATTCACTCTAATGGAAAGGCAAGTCCATCACATGTGAATAAGTTTCCTTTGTTTCGCCAATAACAATTATTTATTTTTATTTTAAAAAAATCAATGTCCTTTCCATAAAATAAAAAGAAATCATAAACAGCCGATGTCAATTGTTAGAAGTCACGACTCACATCATAGTCATTTTAACTGGTGCTTTATATTTCACAGGTACCTATGGGTGTCTTAGGACATTTGAACTTCATGTTGCAATAAACTAGTCCTGCACAGTTGGAGTTAAATTAATAGAATCTAGATGATTCATGCTAATTATTCAACAACAAATTGTTAGAGTTAAATTCCTGTATCTAGATATTTATGAATCTTTTTCATGGGTTCTCTGCTCTACTGCATACAACAAAATAGGATTTCTTTTGGGTCGGAACTACTTGCCAACCATGTTTTGACTAATCTACTCATAGACCGGAAACAGGGGTAAGCACAAACTAATGCTACCAAATTCAAGCAAAGCTAATTCTCCAGTACTCTAGCAATCCCCTAAGGTCAGATAGTTGGCCTGTATAACTCAAGGTCTTACATTAGAAAAATGCTAAAAAAAATGTTGAAACAAGACCAAGATGTATCATCAACATGTGTCTAGGTGCTTAAGCATAGATAATAGAATTTGATGAATAACAACCTATGCTCATTCAAAGATAAATATGTGTAATTAACAATATATTATTATCTTTTCGGAAGGACCAAGCATTTCTTGAGAGAAGTCGAGACTTGCATTCAACATTGTATAATGAAAAATCCTAAATGAGTAACACTTAAAAGAAAGCACATAGGAAATTTCAGATTAGGGCTAAAGTGTGGATAGCATAATCCTTCCATGTCTTTCCTATTAAGTGCACCAACCGAATTAAGAGAGTCATGCAATTTTTACTTATTTAACTCAACGGATGCAAAGATATGTGGTGACATAAGAATTTACAAGATAAGAAATGTCACATTTGCAAGAAGGTTCAAGTAGTACAGATCGACGATTAAATTAGAGAAGGTAGTTAGAGATGGTTAATCATGTCCAACATCGACCTCCAGATACACCGGTTCGTAGGTGTGAAACCATGGTGAATGAAGGTGTTAAAAGAGGACAGAGGTAGACTTAAAATCACATGGAAGGAAGTTGTTCCGAAAGAACTACATATGTGGATCAATGCAGACTTAGCAAAAGATATGGCACAATGGAACAAGCAGATCTATATAGGCGATACATATTAGTTGAGAATATGGTTCTAGATGTTAGCACTATTGCCGTAGGTCCTATGATTTCTCGGAGTGGTTTAGCCTTTTAGAGATTTTATATGTTCAGAAAACATAGAGCTTCTAATATTTTTTATTTGTATTTACATAATATTGGCTATTGGCATGAGATGAGCTTAAGTGGAGTAACATGGTCGGTGATGATTCATATAGTCGATCCCGACTTGTTTGGGACTGAGGCATTGCTGTTGTTGTAACTTGTAACACAAAAAATCAGGAACTAATACATAAGTAGCAATCATTTATTTAAAGTAACTTGATGGACACTGACCTGAATAATAGGATCTAGCAGAGCAGATATAGCTGGATCAAAGTCAGGCTTCTTTCCAGATGCAGGGAACATCATGCTATCATGTGTTTGAATAATTTCAAGCAGCAGTGAAACTCCTTCCCTTAAAGCTGGTGGTGGAGAAAGATCAACAGCGACCAATGGAG